CTATGATGCAGATCATCCAAATTTTACTATGTTTTACAACCTCCTATAGATCGGCGGGAAATGTCCTGTGACTGATACGTAAAATCTTACGAAATTTTCAGAAACCTAGTACCACAAATGATACTTCTTCTCAACAAAGCGAAGATACTGAGGATGAAGAAGCTATCGAAGATATGGAAATTAACTTTGTTCGGGATAAAGATGTGATAGATATTGCGACTGTGCAGGGTAAAATCAAACGTTTAGTACTTTCGGCAATTTTAGTCGATTCTTGCTCAAATACTTTACTTATGTCTAGGGACATTGCTGAGCGATTGGGTTTGAAAATTGATAAAGGTACGATGTTTTATTTCAAGGGGGCATCCACTGTCCTAACCAAATCTATTGGAATGGTTTATAATGTACCATTAACCCTAGCTCCCGGCTGTGTATTTCATTTAGATTTTGCAGTTATTGAATACGAAAAGTCTATGGTTATATTGAGTAATCCCTTCCTTAAAAAACATGATTGTGCGATGGATTGGGCTAAATCCGAAATGAAGCTTCATTGCAATGGAAAAGATTTCATCATCCCAGTTACGATGCACAAGGTTGAAAATAAGATTGAGGTACATCACGTTAATGCAATTTCTGAAGATACAGAGTTAAAAAAAAATGCATGAATTGCGAGAATAAGTCAAACCGTGAAAAAGAACTTGAAAAGGCATTATTCGCCAGTATTCAATCAGTTTCTGAAGTAATTGGGTATTATAACGATTTGTGTGATCGATATGTGTCAGAGACACTAGCCCCGCTATAAAACAAAACATTGATTTTACACTTACGAATCTAAGGAACAGATAATTTAAAGGCAAGAGTACGACCACTCGCTCTAATCTTTTCTATATCTTTTTGGTTTCTCTTATGTAATTCCAAAACATCTTCAGTCTCTTGCGAGGTAACAGGTGGTGTAGTTTCTTTTTTTGCTTCTGAAATTCTGCCTATCTTTTCTGTCTTACAGAGTGAGGATGTTACCGCATCTAGATCTTTATTAATAAAAGGCTGATCAGAAATGCGAGTAGACTTGGATTTTGATTTCCTCTTTTTTTTCTCTCCCACAACTACAGATATTGGAATATCGTTTCCTGGATTGGCCAAAGATGAATTCCAAGTATTTGTACAAACCTCTTTTCCTTTCCATATCTTATAAAAACGGGTATAAGACATAGGATATTTCTTTCTAAGCATATCTAGAGGTTTGGATTTCGCATCTTTATAATGCATAATATATTCATAATCTTCTTGTGATAGTTTAACTGCATCAGAGCGCATGGTTTGGTATTATCGTTAATATCGGTAATATATAAAAATTATTATCAATAATATCGGTAATATCGGTAATATCGGTAATATATAAAAATTATTATCAGTAATATCGGTAATATCAGTAATATATAAAAATTATTATCAATAATATCGGTAATATTGGTAATATATAAAAATTATTATCAGTAATATCGGTAAAAACATTATCAATAATATCGGTAATATATAAAAACCATTATCAATAATATCGGTAGTATCACTAGTATTGGTAATATTGGTAAACCAAAAGTATATATAATCTATTACTTAGCCTTGATTTTTTTTTTAATATATGAGAAAAATAATATGGCCAATGTACGTACATTGCAAGATACCAAGAGCATGGAGTCCAAAAAAATACAAGGGCAGGGGTATAGGCTTGGTAGTGCCCGCGAACAAGAACTCGAGGAGGCATTACGTGATAGTATCAAGTCCAATTCCGAAATTACTAGTGAATATAAAAATATACAAGTGGTATATTCGAATCATAGCAAAAATACCAATAAGGAGAATGAACAATTACGTAGCAATAATGAGAAACTCTCCAAGTATGTATATCAACTTATAGATAAGGTTGAGCAATTACGCTCAAAGATAGATACTCTCAAATCCCGTATCACTGATAAAGATCTTTCACTTAGTAAGTTCAAAACCGATATTCGTACAAAATCCAAAGAAATGAAAGATTTCTTATCTAAGATGGAGGCATTGGAGACGAAATTATCTTCAGCTCAGAAGGACTTGTCTATGAAAGAATCTGAGATTGACCCCCTTAGGGCTGAATTATCTGCCTTTAATTCTATTCTAGTTTCGAAAAATAGTGAATTGGTGCATATGGAGAATGCATTGGCTTCGAAAGATGACGAATTGAAACAAATGAAAGATGATCTGGCCTTGAAAACTTCAGAGATACACTCCTTAGAATCTAAGTTATTGTCAGAACCAATCAAGATCGGTGGTGAGGCAGATGAAAAAAAAATACCGAATTCTGTCTCACGGAGTGATGACGCTATTGCATCTGATATACCTAGTAGAGATCTCAGTCAATATTTTATACGTGAAAAAAGTATGGATCGAGCTGGAAAAATCAATACTGATATACCGGACCACACTGATGATAAAAGTACCTCTATACCTGAGGAACCAGTAATTCGAGGCTCATCTCCAAGTGTAGATACTGAGATTATTTCCAAGGTAAGTGATGAAATCGATATTAGTAAAACTAATAACAATATACTTGTACAGCCGGAAAATTATATGTCCCCTTTGATTGAATCGAATACCCAGATGGGACCTGGTCCCGAGGCTTTGCCTCCTCCGATAGGAGGGATAGGAGCAATCCCTATTGTGGCATATATTTTTCTTACTCTATTAATTATTGCGGTTATGTGGTTTGTAAGACGCACATGGGGATTTGAGAGGAAAAGTGATCGGTTACGGGATATGTGGGCTAGGTATTAGGAACTATCTATTTAAACTTGGATATTATTTATATACTGGCTCATATTGAAATAACCTTACCATACATATAATGTGCCCCCTCTATTCTATCAATGATATTATTACTCAACATGTAATGTTCTAATTCTTGCAGTCTTTTAATAATTCCAAACAACTTACTATTCAAAGAATTTATTCTTACATAAGGGTCTTCGATTTTCGGATTAGCTCCACCAATCCACCAGGCATATTCTTCTCTAGCTTCTTCTAATTCTGAATCTAATTCCCAAAATATATCTTCAAGTTTTTCTTGCCTTATAAAGAACTCACGTTTTGCTTCCTTATTCCATATTTGATTGATATGAAGACATTTTGCGAGATCTTTTGGTGCTAGATTTTTGATAATATGCGCTATTAACTCTGGCTGGTCAAACGGGTTATAGGTATGGTACATTAAGTTTGATTTATATTTTATATTCTCTGATTTATATTCAAAGAAGGTTCTACTAAAGCATATAAAAAGTTATTAATGAGAATTAGTGATATATGTAGATTGGATAAGCTGATATAATCTCACCTTCATCACTCAATTTCAGATATTTTTGTTGCCTCTTACAACAAATGCGGAAAAAAAATTCAAATCGAAAATAATACCAAGATAGCTGAACCACGGGGTTTTTGTGATGTGCAATTAAAATTTTTGATATGGTAGTACACAAAAGACCAAATTTTTTCAAATCGGTAGGGTGTCAAAGTATCAACTATACGAGAAAGACTTCCAGAAACATAAAACATAGCGTACTCGTGGTAGTACGTCAAGGTATAATTAGAAAAATATTAATATATAAAAATTATACTTTGGTGTGCTACTGGTGGTAAACAAATTTTTTGATTTGGTAGTACGTAAAAGTATGATCCAATTTTTTGATATGATGATACGTGAAAGTACGATCCAATTTTTTATATGTAATACGCAAAAGTAAGATTTAAAATCAAAATTTTCGATCCAATAATACGTAAAAGTGCGATTTTATTTTTTCGATCCAGTAATACGCAAAGGTAAGATCCAATTTTTGATACGCAAAAGTATAATCCAATTTTTGATGTAGCGTATCCAATTTTATAGTGATACGTAAAATGCAATAAATTTTTCAAAGTATGATCCAATTTTTTTGATACATACAGAAAAGTGATACGCAAAAGATTAAAATTTTCAATCCAATTTTTGATACAGTAATACGCAAAAGTATGATCCAATTTTTCGATAGTAATATGAAAAAGCATAGGACGAATTTTTTGATTTGGTAGTACGCAAAAGTAAACAAATTTTTCAATCCAGTAAAATTTTTCAAATCGGTAGTACGCAAAAGTATGATCCAATTTTTCGATAGTAATATGACAAAGCATAGGACGAATTTTTACATAAATTGGTAGTACTCAAAAACATCAACTATGCGAGAAAGCTTTCTAGGGAGCCAAAAGATAGTATACTCGCGGTAGTACGTCAAGGTATAATTATTATAGAAAGATAAAATTATGCTTTGGGGTACTACCAAATGGATAACAATTCGGCACTACGTGCCTCATCATCGGATTACCAAATAGGATAACGATTCGGCACTACGTGCCTCATTCTAAGATAACATAATAGATAACGATTCGGCACTACGTGCCTCATTCTAAGATAACATAATAGATAACGATTCGGCACTACGTGCCTCATCCTCAGGTTACCAAATAGGATAACAATTCGGCACTATGTGCCTCATTCTAAGATAACATAATAGATAACGATTTGGCACTACGTGCCTCATCCTCGGGTTACCAAATAGGATAACGATTCGGCACTACATGCCTCATCCTCGCGTTTCCAAATAGGATAACGATTTGGCACTACGTGCCTCATCCTCGCGTTACTGAATGGGATAACGATTCGGCACTACGTGCCTCATCTTTGACGAGGCAAATGCAAAACGTACGTCATTCGAATGACGAGGAAAATGCAAAACACACGTCACAGCTAATAAGTAGGTAACAGTCTAATCATAAGTAGGTAACAGTCTAATCATAAGTAGGTAACAGTCTAACGTAAGTAGGTAACAGTCTAACGTAAGTAGGTCGCAATATATATATATTGCGACCTACTAGTTGCAATCACCACCATTCTTTTAATAACTAAAAACTAAAGTGATGACAAGCAGCAGTGATTGCAGCAACCATCACCATCACTTGTTTAAATAAACTAGAGTGATGATGAGTGACAGTAATCACAACCATCAACACCATTCTTTTGATACTCATGAATTATTTCATCATTGTGGTTAGTTTCTCTTTTTCTTTTATTGTTTCTTCCTGTATTTTATAAAACTTGGATATTTTTTACAAGTATGTGTTAGTTTATCATATAAGTTATTCTTATTAATAAAGTTATTATAATCTAATTTATAAATATTTTGAAAACAAATATTAAATCTAGGATGATTAATTGACAATTAGTCAGGGTTATTTCTAAATATGGAATTTCTAAAAAAAGATGGTTTTATTTTGATCGACAAACGCGTCCTATCATTGTATGGTTGTACAAGGATTTTTGAACATTCACATTTCCTCATCTTTTATAATTCTTTTTTCTAAAAACGCCACGAAAAGAAAAAAGAAGAAAAGATAATGATACTGCAGAAGCAGTTTCTGGGTAAGTGTTTATCATAAGAATGGTTATCGTCACTCTAGTTATATATATAAAATAAAAAATAATTGTTTCATTGAAACAGAAAAATCAAGTTCTAAATGAATAGTTTACGAACATAGGACGAAATAAGAAGTTGGTCAGATATGCCATACTTATTATAGACAAAAATTGGCATCATTATGACTGTTGTTTAATAATAATAATAATAGGGCAACTTTTGGTTGAGTTCTTCTTGACTCAGGAGAATTACTGTTTTTGATACTGGTATTCACTGGACAAATTGATTACTTTACTCTTGATCTTTTAATGTAATAAAATTTAATAATTTTATTTTGGATTAATTAGGTTGGAAATATTATTAATGATCTCAAAAAATCAATATGACATCAAAATTGAAACAACAAATAATTCATTGGGAAAAAAATAAAAAAAGGAATTAGAGATTTTCACAAGTGAGCTTATACGTGATATTAATGACTATGATGAATTAAGCTTTTAAAAAAAAATTTTTTTTGTTTGATCATAATTTGTTATTTACATTTTTGTTTGCCAAAATCATACAACCACAGAATTGAAAGATGCTGATATTCGAGAGACTAGCGAAAGTTCTTTTGATGACCAAGAAAATTTGTTGATTCTTTTAAAATGGAACTGAAAACATCACATCATTACAACTACTAATATAATTAATAGAGCAGAAGAATTTAGTGAAAGTGATAGTAACTATAGTGAGGAAGAAAAGATAACGAGTAAGAAGAAAGTGAAAGTGGTAGTAACATAAGTGAAAATCATGTAATACAGTAGTTGTTGAACACCATGTTGTCGAGGAATTACAAACAATTGATGATGAAGAGGGCGGTGGCGGTGGCGAAAATCAAGATGATATATCTGAAGGTGGACAAAGATACATTACTCATTGGACTACTAAACGGACCAAAGAGTAATCATCAATTCTTTTGAAGTATGTATTTCAAAAAAGAATTAATTGTATCGAGCTTAGAAATGCGATCCGTGGATGATCAATCCGGATATCCGTAAAACAATTCGGATGGACGGATGGCTTTTTAAAAATGCTAACGAATTGCGGATTGAAATTTTAGAAGTTATAGGATTACGGATAATCCGTTTAAATCCGACGGATGTATTTTTTGAGCAATTAACGGATTTTTTAGAGATAAATGACGGATGAACCGATGACGGATATCCACGGATCGCATCTCTAATCGAGCTTCAAACATTAGATATATCACGAAAAAACACTGATATTACTTTAAATGGAAATCTATGAAAAGAAAGATAAATGATCCATTCAATGTTAATTTTTAGGTATTTTTATCATTTACAAATTATTGTTATTATTAATTTTTTATCCATTCATCATCAATAACAATCTTTGAAATCAAAAAAAAAAAAAATTAAATTTCTAAATCGAAATTATATTAATAATTTTTATATATAAGAAATACAATTTCTTTAAAAATTAATGTGTAGAATAATACTTTCCTTTACTGAGATTTATAGTTTGTTAGATAATGTTAATCAAGAAATAATGAAGTTTCATTTTAGTATTATTATTACCCGTTACTTTTAAATCATAATATTGAATACATGAATATGTTAGTAGTACAACGGTGTCAAACAATTTTAGACACTGAAATTCTTGGCAACTATCTGGTTTTGTTGCAGTTTCGATCAGAAAACTATGTGTGACCCTGATTTGAACAAATTTTCTAAATTAGAATGATTTTCTTTTATAGTATAATTTTTATCAATTAAAAAATTACCAGCAAAAAATATTTGCAATAATGTCCTCAATTCCAACTCCTGGAACAAAGAGATTGCAACCCTCTTACTCGGATTCTGAAGAAGATGTTATAGTTAGCAATGATAAGCATCATCAAAAATTTCGAAAAACAGAGCAAGATGAATCAGTAGCTGATTCACGATTTCAAACTTTAAATTTGTTCTCGAAACTTTTATCAAGTTTCCAAGAAAAAGAAGAGAGTTCAACAAGTGATACTGAAATAAATGAAAATCCAGAATCTCCTCCATGTAAGTTGGATACTTTTTTGATAATGGTAAATGTAAATTTTTATATAATGCTATATATATAATAGGGAAAATGGCATCAAATAATAAACGAAAATCAAAAAACATTAAAAAACAACAAAATAGACCAAAGGTATGATTGATTGATATCAATATCATGTTTGTTTGTTTGTTTTTAATTTTTAATTTTTTTTGTTTAAAAATTGATCCAAAGAAAGCTGAAAAAAAGCAAAAATCGAAGCAACCCGAGTTTTTTTTTGTAGGAAGTGTTCTCAAAGTAATAAATTTCAAGGTAATGATAATGTTAATAATATAAACTTTATTTGCTTTACGCTGGTCCTAAATCTCTAAGATTTATAGTAATGTAATGATTTGAATATTGTATAGGATATTCAAAATCTTGCACTAGCATGTATCGCTGATGGAATTTGTCCTCGTTGGATGTTTATCAAGGTTTTTGAATTATTAAATTTCTTCTTGATTTGAATCTCTTTAGTGTAATTAATAATTCATTGATACCTTTTTTAAAAAAAAAAAGAATAAAGAATTAATATCCAAAGTTGTTATATTAATGGTACCTGGATTAACTCCACAATTTTTTGGTATGGATCATGAAACTGCTCGATCTGTTAATGGCCCTATAGATCTTAAAGAGTTATGTCAGAATGATTTATTGGGTGATATTGAATCTATCAACAAAATAAATGATGTCTTCCCAGCATTATCTGATATTTTCTCACATGCTTGTGTCACACGTGCTCCTGGTGACAAAAATAGAATCTATTCTCCTATCGCTTGCATTCTTAATACTTCAATTCCTAATAGCGAAAAAGCAAAACAAAACGATGAAAATATTTCAGGCAAGAATATCTATTATTAAATATGATTATTATTATTTATTATCAAGAGATTTGGAATATTTAATTAATTGGATTACCTTATTAATAAAAATAATATTAGTCGATACAGTTGAAAAATTGAGAAAATGTTTGTTAACGCTTGAACAAATGATCAATAATGGATATCCAATTCCATCTTGTTATAACGATGACAATGGTGTTTCTCCTTCAGAAGGATGGTTTGAAGTAAAATTTGCTGAAAGTTTTAAATTAAATGAAATAGTATTATTTAAAGAAAAAAATGGCGAAACAGTCGAGCCAAAATTAATTGCGATGGATTGTGAAATGGTAATGACATTTAAATTATATATTATTATGTTTGTCATTATGCTTGTTAGTTTATTTGTTAATGGAAACCGCAATTAAAAAAATTTTTTGCGCTACGTAATAAAATTTAATTTAATTAGGTAACTACAACGACTGGTCAAGCACTGGCAAGAATTTCAATTGTAGATGAAGAATCAAAAGTAATTTATGATGAACTAGTAATGCCAAGTAGTCCAGTAACAGATTATTTGACTGCGTAAATATTATATTACTCTTCTACATAATCATCATTACCATTGTTATCATTATCATTATTTTTAATTTTGTCGCATTTTTTTTTTTTAAACAAATCATTTTAGATACAGCGGCATCACGGAGGAATTATTAACAGGAGTAACCACAACTTTATCTGATGTCCAGCAAAAATTATTGGAAATTATAGGCAATAATTCAATTCTAATTGGACATTCACTTGAATGTGATTTGAAAGTTTTAAAAGTATTATATTAAATATCATAATAATTTATATGTTCCAATTGAAAAAAAAAACAATTTATTCTATATAGATAAATTATCACTAAGACCAATCATTTTTGCTAGTTTGCACATCCATATATAATAGATACATCAGTTCTCTATAGTAATGGAGTAGGTTATCCTAAACCGAAATTAAAACATTTGACTCAAAAGTGGCTTAATCGTACGATTCAAGAGATTGCTGGCGATATAGTTGGACATGATCCAATTGAAGACGCTTCAGCATGCATGGGATTGGTGAAGTTGAAGCTTGAGAAAGGTTTTTTATCTTGAATAAATTCTACATATATCTTTTTGTTTTTTGATATCAAAAATTCATTATAAAATTTTTTTTTGTAGGAATGGAATTTGATAAAATCACTGAACCTATATTTCGACGCTTAGCGAGGCTTAATAAACGAAGTGTATATGTCTAATCAATTGCCTATCTTTTGCTCCATCCTAAAAGGAAATAATTTTGCTGGCTTGCCAGGGAAATCATGTCAAGAACCAATCCACATTATTAATGCAATT